AGAGAGAGAGAGAGAGAGAGAGAGAGAGAGAGAGAGAGAGAGAGATGGGGGGGGGGAGGGGATTAGCACACCTCTAGGAGCTGTTCTTTCTTCATGAGAGTTCTAACATAATATGCAAGGTTGGGTGGTACAAGTCTTTGCCTCATGAACTTGACGTCACGTGTCAGCACTACCCGCTTCTCCCTCTCTGCCTGCTCCACCAACTGCCTGTCACAGCAAGACAAAATTTTTCGACGTGTTCCATTCACAGTTCACCGCATCACTCAAAAAGTGAAAACCATCCGCATAAATAGCATGGCTACATTCTGAGCTTCTGAATGGGCATATGGGCTAAGCTGTCAAGATGCTGTTGTCAAGATTCCCAGTCCAGATTCGTTCGAATTCCAAAAAACAACTTTCAAATTCTTAAAAACAAAAAAGTTGAAAAAAAGTTAAAAAATGTGAAAAAAACAGAACTTTTACTAAGTTTTTAGAACTTCTGAGTTCTCCCCACTACACCCCCCAAGCCAACCCACCCACACACATACTAACCGCAACAAAACAAGACACCACCGGACAACCCCCACATTGTGCCCCTACACGCCTCAGAAATTCCCAGCTCCAACAAAACCCGTTCCCCCCAATAGTAACACAGCCCCTCCCTTACCACATTTATCCTCGCTCTCCCGCCCCAAGCCCATAACCCCAAGCCCATCGACCCAGAATCCCAAAACCTTCACCACTGCACAACCCCCCTCAGTCACTGCCCCCCCCACCCAAACTACCCCGCCAAGAAACTATAGGCATATTCAACAGCGTCAACACAGAAAATTCGGACAGGGACAGACCATAAAAACACACTACAGTCAACAAGGGTTCAGGGCATACTTGCGGCGTGCGGTGCGGTGCGCTGCGCTGCGCGCAGTGCGGCCAAGTTTCGGTGAGCGCGCTGTGCGCCGTGCGCTGCGCGCACTTGTGCGCTGTGCGCTGTGCGCACAGGGCCCTCGGGACCTGTGCGCACAGTGCGCCGATTCAGTAAAGAAGGAGGAGGAAGAAGATGAGGAGGAGGAGGAGGAGGAGGAGGAGGAAAAGGAGGAGGAGGAGGAAGAAGATGAGGAGGAATAGGAGGAGGAGGAGGAAAAGGAGGAAGATGAGGAGGAGGGAAGCATAACGGCGTTAGAACAGCTGAACCAAAAAAAAAAAAAAAAAAGATCTGCCACGTGGCACGTTAACATTAGAGGACGAAGAGGAGGAGGAGGG